AAGGCCTTCTTGCAGCCCGACCTGGCCAATGCATTAACTAGGGAGGTGAAAGGTAAATGAAAACTAATGCAAAAACCCAAACCCAAACAAAATGAAAATGATTCCTACATTGAGACTGTATCTGTGAAAAATAAAGGAGCCAGTTGTAACCTGTGACTCTAATCCAATACTTCCAAAAGCAAGTCAGCAACTTTGGGGAGTTAATTCATGATTTTACAGTGAAGAAGGTCATAAAAGACAGGTTTGAAGTGCATTTATTAGTTTATAAAATGTTGGCAACCATGCTGGTCCAAGGAAGACAGAAAAGTCTGACAGGATAAAATGTTTATTAGAACCATCAAAAAGTAAGCCAGATGCCATATTAAACAAAAAATGTAAAAAGGCAGCTGGAGGCATGGTTGAAGTAAAAAATGCCCACTGTAAACCATGAAGCACTGTCATGCATGTAGAGCATGTAATTCAGAATTATAAGAGAAGCTTTTTCATGACTCATGGGATTTTACAGATGGAATGGAATGATAGACGTACTTGTCCCCAAAGAATAAGGCTTGAGACTGCTTCAACCATCTTATCTGAGTTAGCGTAAAATGAGAAATAGAGTTGAGTGTCACCATCGGTTTATTGAAACATTGTTCCAGATCACCTCTCTGTGATCGTTTCATGCAGAGTTAAATAGCTTGGGGGATCAGAGGAAGCCCTGAGGAATTCCATAGCACAATTGATATGACACAGAGCAAAGGTCATCTAACACCACTTTCTGCAAATGATTGCCAGGTAGAAATTGAACCACCCAAATACCTCTAAAATTAATTACGCCCATGCTATGCTTAGCACTAACTGAACAGGAATGTAACCTATAAGGCAGAAAGGGGTAACCTGGGGCTTCCAGATGCTTTGGATTGCAATTTCAGTAATCCCTGGCCATCCTGACTGGGGCTAAACCTTTGAAGGGTGCTACATTGCCTATCTCTTCCTATAAGGCTCCCAATTGAAATTACAAAATTTTTTAAAAGACTCAAATGTTCAAGAGTCTTCTGAAGTTTTAAGATTCTGGGAGGTATTTGTTGCATTGAAAGTATCCAACTTAAGGAGATAATGTTGGTCATTTTGACTTTACAGGTCCAATTTGTTTTCCTTCAGTGTTGCTGATTTAATGCTATCTCAACTCTTCACTGTTTTAACTAAGAATCTTCAGGTAATGCACCCAATCCCAACAGATGCACCCAACTTTCATTTTAACAAAAGGGAAGCCTTTTCAGTTGGAATCTTCCCATTTAAATTGCTGTCAAGTGACCGTATGTAGGCAGCAGCAGATGATAAACGATTATTGTCTTGTGGCTGGCCTTCAGTGCTCAACATGTCACTTCAGTTTAAACTTACATCTTGCATTAAGCTGGAAAGCTTCCATTTGGGTTAAACTTTACTACAAGGTAGCATCATGAGTCAAATGAACGTACTGATGGCCTGAGGAAGAAAGCTCAGAACAATCCAGATTTCGGCATTACTCCATTTGAATTAGAAAGAAAAAGACTCATTCTGCCCTACTGCTAGAGATTTCTTTAATACATGTATTCTATCCAAAACTTAGGGTTGCACTAATGTTAGTCCTACTTAGAGTGGGCCTTAAGTTAGAGTAACACTAGATACATCAAATTGGATCCAACCATTCCACTCAGCTTGCAACCCCAATACAGAGTTTTCAGAATGGCTCATATTAAATTTAACAGCAATTGGGTCTTGACATTTCACAGGTGAAGGGAAGTGTGACATTTCACAGGTAGAGAGGAAATTAGCTGCTAGGCCTCCCTCCACATCCAGCTACTCTTCAGATGTTTTGTATTACAATTTGCATCAGCCCCAGACATCATGTCCTATAGTCAGGGATGAAGAGAGTTATAGTCTGAAACATCTGCAGGGTACCTGTCAGGGAATGTTGCAGAAAGACATCCAGATGTTTGGCTTCTCCTTTCCCCCTTTGTTCTTTAACTCCCATCCCTCTTAATTGCAGCTCTCCTACCAACACTGATACCATCCTGAATCCTTTCCCCAAAGCCTCCCTGGCTTCCCCAACCTTTACTAGCCTTCTCTTTTCCTTTCCCCAACAACGTCTTTCATCTTCTACTCCCAGCGTTAACCTCCTCCACTTTCCCACCCTCTTTCTCACTGTATAGCACCTTTTGTCATGTGAATGAATGACAGGCCATCACCTACATAGGACTTAAGAAGCTGCCCTGCAGCAGCTTGTCCTGTCCACTTGACCAGCAGGGGGTCTCTGGGCTGAATTGCCAGGAACTGCAACTGGGATGGCCTCCACATAAAGCATGTGCTCTGCCACTAAGCTTTGGTCTGACTTCATAAAAAGAAAGGACGCACTCATAAATATTATTGGAATGAGGGCTAAACTTGTCTTCTTTGACCAAGATACCTTCATCCATTAGCACAGCAAGACTATGGTCCCAGGGAAAGCATTGCAGAGAGCACAGGGTATGGCACACCCTCTTTCTTGTGACTGTAGGTACAGCTACAGCCTTGGAAGGGAAAATCCAAGGTCAGATTGAGCCATCATGCCCTTGCAGGTGCCACCTCAACTGCTCTTCAGCTTGCAAGGGTTCGGAATGGAAGAGGCTGCTGTTCTGGGCACATGTTTCAAAGCCAGGGAGATTTGGACTCTTCAGAGGGGGGAGTAGGAGGAGCCATGGGAAATTATTATTATTATTATTATTATTATTATTAGAAAATTTCTATGCCACCCCTTGCCGAAATGGAGCCTCCAGCTCTTGAGATGGAAGAGGTGGGTGGACTTATCTCAAGGCCACCCTCTCCAGGTGTTCAGGCAGATCCTGAGAATAGCCACAGTCTGCAACTGCTAGGAGAGGACATGGAGCAGGAACACCAGGAATCAGATGTGGATTCTTGGAGGTAGTGGGTGAGTTTTAGTGCAGTTTCAACAAAATGCTCTGTGCATGTTCAAAGATGCTTTCTTTGCTAATTATGCTTTACTGAATGCACACTGGAAAATAAAGAGCTTTGACCAAAGAACGGTCTGTGGTTTTGATGGTGTGAAAGGGGAAACTAGCACACAACAGGAAGGGGTTGAAGAGAAGAAAAAGAGAGCAGGATGATGGATGGGGCAAAGGAGAGGCCAGGACCCACAGGATCCCTAAAGTTTTTCCATTGCTCATCCTGCCTGTAACAAGATGAGTCAGCTAGAGAAGCCAAGAAGCTCGTGTTGATGAAAATGTAAAGAAAAGGGGGAATAGGCAGCAATTTTGCCTCTGTGCTCCTCTCACCCTGTCTGGCTCCTGCCAGCAAGGCAAATTTTAGATTGAGGGCCCCAAGTTCTGAATCCTCAATCTATCAGGCAGAAGTCCTTTAGGATTAAGCTCTCGGAGTCTCTTTCTGCACAGCCCCATGCTTGTTTAGTTTATCTGGTCACAATAAAGTGTGATGAGAACTAGACTTTTGCTGAAGCAATTTATGTACAACGATGACTACACAGTACCTTCTATTTTTTAAAAAATCCAAAGCATTAAAAGAATGAGGCCAAGAGAGTTTAAAATATGACTTTAGGATGCATTCAAATTAGTATGAGCTTAATGACTTCAATCCTCTGCAAGTTTCAGAATGAGGACTAAAAGGAAGGATTGGAAAAATATTTTTTCACACCATGTTCCTTTATCTTCCAGTTCATCTGGCTTTACAACAGCTTGTTCTGTTGAGCCATTGCTTTTTTCTTTTCCGATTAGTGTGATGAATGAACTATTGACTCGTAGCTGCACATCTCCACAATACAACAGCAAACTGCTTATTTAACAATTAGTCAAGAAGTGTGGCATACTTAGGAAAAGACCATTTATTATTTGCTTATCAGTTGGACCAGCAGAAGCTGGTTCTCAGGCTCCTGAGAATGAAATATTGTAGGCTAAAAGCACCAGGAATGTCTAGGTTTGATTTAATGAAGTTTGATTGCTCTACACACAGTACATGTGTATACCTCAAGATCTGTGCCGAAGAAAAATAACTGATTCGTATGCTTCTGTGGCATTTTAAATAAACAAAAAAAGAGTGAAAGGATTAAGTTCTTGTTTTAAATCATTTTGTTATTTGAATGCACCACACAATTTTATTAGAAGAGATGTGATAAACAAAATATTAATCTGAGTTTTTAAAGAGGTGGGGGAACCAATAATGGGTTACAATTTTCAAGACACCCCAATGATTTAAGAGCTGGTTTTAGAAGTGGGAAAAACTTTCAAAATAATTCAGATACCTCACCATGCCTAGATATCCTTCTGGTAAGGACAGCCTACAATGAAATGGTGTCTGGGCTGCAGATAATACTCTATATTATAGCCAGACTAGAGCACTAACTTCTTAGGCTGCAATATTTCAAATTAAACTTGTTTAGGCTAGCATAGAAAACCTAACAACTGAACAGTTTCAGAGCTTTTCCACTGGAAAAAACCAACTGGTCTTTCACAGGAGTTCCTTTCACATACAGCTAAATGCAGAATGTTTCAAAACAGCCCAAGAAGGAAACAGGACCAATGACAAAAAGACAGAAATCACTTCTTCATCCTTAGTGCTGTTTCACATCCATGAGGAAAAGCATCAAGGAGCTCCAACTGAAGACATTTTGCTGCCTAAGGCAAAGGGCAAGAAGCTCCCTTCACCTTCCTCCATGCAGAAGCCAATCAGACTTACTGCAACACTAGTTAAGGGGCAGCTTCCTCCAGTGCACCTGAGGACAACAGGTTAGCTTGGGGAGGAGTGCAGGGCAAGCCAAATGGGGCACACAGCTCTGTCGTCCAACACCCATTAAGAGTGTAGATCTTGGCAGATGCCTAATAACACTAATCCATGAGGCAGGTCCTGGCCTGGTGTATGCTGAGGGGGACCTTCATCTCAGCAATGGTTATGACCAAGTTTGTGCTTTTTTAAAGCCCCCTTTCATCAAACATGAACTAAACAACTCACCAATGGATAAAAGGAAGCCTTACCCATACAAGCAGCAAGAGGTTTCTTTTCACTGTCCCACAATATCCCAGCATCCCAACAATGATAAGGAAACAGCAGACTGCAATCATTACTGGATGGACAACTGGGAAGTAAGTTGAAATCACAGCCTCCTCCACCCTGAAAGCAAATGAAACAGGGATCAGTTAAATGGCATTGCATCCAGTTTCCCTCCAAAGCACATCATTTTAGAATACAGTGGTCATCTGCTTTAAGGATCACTGAAAGCATTTTCTTAACAAGAGAGTGCTCTATGATGAGGCAGCTTTGTCCTTTGAATCAAGATGGAAAGCTGAAAACAACTGTGAGCAGCTATGAATGCTTACAGCTATTACTTCATAATTAGTTCTGAAATAACAACTCTCACCATTGCATATAGAATTCTAAAACATAAAGTGCTTGATACACTGCAAGGAATGGAGTGAAACTGAATTCAGCCACACTGAGATCTCACAGGAAGGAGAGAAATAAAGGCCCCTAGACAAGCCACTCCAGGGACAAATCCCAGTTTTCCAGAAATTGTCTCTGATATGGATGATTTGTTTTGCCCTTCAGGGGAAATCTGAGGGTGCCTTTAAAAAGCACTGTGATTTCTGCTCCTGAAAATGCTATTTCATGTGTCCTAAGGGTTCTCCCACTAAAAGTAGGTTCTTAACCAAAACACACTTTTCATTTTTATTTTTTTAATCAAACCTGTAAAGACAGGCTTTCAAAAATTTGGAACACTGGGGAAAGAGATTCAAGCTGCAATTATTGGTGTGAAAATAGGCTCTTTTAAAGTTCTTATATTAAAAATCTTGGACAATATGCTTGTTCAGAGGCAGGGATCAGAGATGTATGAGTAAGGAGGTGGCACCAAAATGAAACACTGAATAGCAGGGGAGAGCTACCTCTGGCCTGCGAGTCTTACCCAGCCCATGCCCACAATGTTGCCTGCAGGTTCCTGCAAGCCTCAGCCAAGTCCCTTCCCACCCCATGTGAACAGTACAGGAAGAAGCCGCTCAGCTTAGCTTGCAAGAGGCCTGCAGGAGCTGGCTTTAGCTAGCCCTAGGCTGAGCTCCTTTCTCTTAAAAAAGTGAGCAGAGGTGTGAATAGTATCACAGGATAGGAGAAGGCTAGAGTTCAGGTTAGGATCCTCCTCCACTTCATGTTATCTGCTGATGGTATCTCAGGCTTGTTGCAGAGGTGGGGGCTAATCCAACCTCCTGGCCAAAAGTGGATGCCTTCCCCTGCTGAATTAGCAGAGAGAGGAACCTAAGGTGTAAAAGCACAGCCCTAAAAATGGACACGAGTCAGTTGCTCTCATTGAACAAGCCCTTAACCTCTAACAATATTTTGTAAGCCGTATGAAGCGCTTGAAGTGATAGGATGGGGTATAAATGCATGTAATAAACAATAATAAATAAATAAATAACTACTGCTCCTACTAAGAGAAGAATAAAGTGAGAATGGTGTCCATTTTAAACAGGTAACTCCATCCCTTTCCGTCTAGTACACAAAGAAGAATTACTTTTTCTGCAGAAGGCAGAACAGAGAACTTTGGAAAATCCTCACACATTGAGAAAGTATGATCCTGCCATGTTCAGAGGGAGAGGAGGGGATGTATACAAATCCTAGAGCAAAGTGCAGGCCCTGACCCTTTCTTCCATAACCACCAACTGTTCAGTACATTCCCAAATTTTGTGCACTTTCCCCCATTCTAAAGAGTTGAATTGGCTCTCCCATGGCTTAGTTACTGACAGGAAGAGCTCTAAACCAAAATATACTTAATGTTGGGGGGTAATTTGGAAATGTTCCTTTTGCCTTGGGACCTGCTCCATCACTGGAATGTGGTGCTCAAGTGATTCACTGAAGTAGAAGATGGCTAAAAAGGGTTCTAAATCCTGGACCCTATAAGAACCAGACACACCCTCTGTAACTCCTGAAGAACTAACTAAACAGGGCATCCATAAATATGGTTGCCGGCAAAGAACAGAAGTTTAATCTTGGAGATCAGTAGGGAAAGCTTCTAATATACACTCAAAAGAATAACATTGCCAATGACCCTTTCAACATGGGACCCTGCTGCATCTTGTGACTGGATACAGCATCCATATTGCCAATGTCAGGAGAGGAGTTGCTGCAACATTCATGCATTGCTCACCACCTCTTCCCAGCAGAAATCTAATTTGCCTAGCAGTGGGTAAAAGAAGACATGCTTGCCAGCTGCCAAGGGCAAAGGTTGGTTACCGGGTTCGGCCAAACCCTGCACTAATCATGTATGCTCTGCTCAGTCAAACATATATCAGGAACTTCCAGGGCTAGAACTGGGAACTCTCATCTTTGTGCCACTGTCTTATGTGACTGAAGCCACCAGACTGAAATCTAGGGCATCTTAGGAAGACAGGAACTTCTGCCTTCCTGTGTTGGACCGTTGTTCCATCCAGCCCTACCTGGGGATGACAGTATAGACCCTGAAATGTTTTCTATGCAAAGAAGATGCTCACAGACATTGAGTTACAGCCATTATCTTCTAGAGCAGCAACTTATTCCTAGGCTTTGGATTTTATTTATTTTATTGATTGATTGATTGATTGATTGATTTATATCCTGCCTTTTTCCTACAAAGGCTCAAGGCAGCTTACATCATTCTCCTCCTCCATCTTATCCCACAACAACAACCCTGTGAGGTAGGTTGGGCTGAAAGTGTGGCCCAAAGTCACCCAGTGGGCTCCATGGCTGAGCGAGGACTAGAACCCAGATTGTCTGAGTCCCAGTCCCATGCTCTTAACCACTACTCCACACTGGGCCCCCCTTGCCTGGAAAAGCATAAAAGACTTTACCTAGGAGATGCATTTTGCCTAATCCACAACCATCTTCCTAGTTCTGCTGCGTCCTTCTGCTTGGTCCTGTGGCCCTCATGACTGCCTAGCACAATCGCTGCCTCCCCGCTTTCTGCTCCCCGAGACTCAAATCCAACAACACAGTATTATTCTATCAATACAGGAGCATCTCGGTGGTCCTTTTTCAAACTGGCACAGAAGTGGTTTTGTTTTTCAATTAGCACAGCAATAGTATATATAAGAGAAGTCATTTTTATACTTTTATACAGGTGAGACTATGACATGGCACAAAGACTCCAGAGCCCTCCACAGACCCCATCCACCCCCTTGGCATTTTTGGTTCCCTCCTGCGAAATCCAGCTACAGGAGGAGAGTCGTGTTTTGGCTGACCATGGCAAGCCTACCTTGTTTCTGCAGTTAAAGTGAGCACGTTATTCAAGTAGTCCCTCATCCAGGCAGAAACGCCTAACACAGTGATGGACATCAACTGAAATAAAACAGTGATTTTATTTAGCAAAAGCATAAGTTAGTACAGACACCATTATCAAGACAGAGTTATAAGCAGTGCACTAATGCACAGAATAATTTCCCCCTACTTAGTGATTTGAATAGATGCATTACTCAAATATTATTTTTTAAAACATGGCAATCTGCTCTTCTGCAATTTGCTAATATCTTGGAAGAACAGATTTCTCAACAGAGTTATTTCAGGATTGGCTTATCTGCCCAGAACGGGGCTCCTCAGGGACAGCATAAGCCTTGGGGTTTTATTTTCTGCTTGCAGTACAATTAATCACTCCAGCAGAGATTTCACAACCAAAATCCACAAGGTGCCATGATGCAGAATCAGTAGTCTGTGAGGGAAAAGGTAAGAGCACCGTATGTAATTACCAGATTACTAGTGAAAAAGACAGGCAGCTTCACTCAAGCTCGTATACATGAGGAAAACTCCACTTGAATCATCAAAGCAGAAGGAATAATAGCCAACTCATCAGAGACATGAACTGGATTAAGATGACCTTGTTAAACAGGATCCCCGCCAATGGCAGAAAAGATTTTGCCAACTTTCAAAACCCCATAGCTTTGTTTCCAGGCATGGGAAATGAAGTAAAGTGACAATAGGTAGGATTTCATTTTGATCAACCAGTAGTATAAGGGCTTAAGATACTCACCTTGGATCTTTGGTAATATAAGAAAAGGGAAGTATTAAGCTAGGATATAAACCATCGCACAAAATGACCATATGCATATAGAATTTCTGGAAAGGGGTCAACTTGGGCTTTCACAATCTTCACAAATGAGTTTTGCGGTAAAATGATTAAGTGCACTCCCACCGTTCAACAGCGTCATCAAAAGAGTATGCTGAGCTTTAAGTTACAGACAGAAATGAGAGCACATTCTCAGTGGAGAGATGAGCAGAAGGCAGATCAGGATCTACAGATAATTGCTGGGTGATTTAAAGCAGAATTCCCAAATTCCAACTCTTAACAGTGGAAAGAACAAAATGAAACACACGTTCCCAGACCTCCCCACAAAACTATCCCGCTGAAGGCGGGGAGCAAGGGCTTTTGTACGCAAGGAGTTTTCAGTGCCACTCACTTCTAGTCCTGAGCACAAATGCCTGGGCTCAGAATTCTTTCAGCAAGTGTATCCTTTGGCTGGTGGCTAGTGGATGGGAGTTCAACCGAAATCTCACAAAGCTGCAGCATGCTCACACCTGTCCTAGGGCAAGTAAACGTCATTTCATTTACTATTTGTCTTTATTCCCCATTGTTTATATTCTAACTACCTATTACAGTTCCCTGGAGATGTAACACCCCTAATCTTGTAAATACACGTAAGATTTCAAAAAGTGGCAACCAGGTTGCAGACTGCCCTGTCTCATCTGGCCATAACTGTGGTTAAGTGACTAACACTGACTAACCCATGGTTAATGTTAACAATGCTCTTTCGTATTTCAAATCAAATCCTTATTAATTGTGATTTTTGTAAGTATTATCTATAGCAGAGAGAGAATCATGCCAGGGAGTGTTAATACCATAACTTTTTAAACTCTTAACTGTGATACACAGATGCTAATGTTTATTTATATATTTATGTATTTAAATTTCTATACCACTGAACAGCCCAAGCTGCCTGGGCGGCTCACAACAGCACATTAAAAATACAATAAAAATAAACCATGTTAAAAACATATTAAAACACCAGACAAAGTTTGCAATGCAAAATTTAAAACCAAGTATAAAACAGATTAAAATATAATAACTTGAAGAAAAACTTATGGCATGTGTAACAGCTAGCAGGGCTCAGTAGATTACTTGAATGCCCTGCAGCAGAGGGCAAGCTTTTCCGTACCTGGCATTGAAAAGATAGTAAAGCTGGTCCCAGGTAGAGCTCAGGGGGAAGTTTGTTCCAGAGCTGGGGGGCCACTACTGAAAAAGCCTTTCTCCTTGTTGCCACCATCTGAGACTTCCTCAGAGGCAGCTGTCAGAACCTGATCATAGTGCCTGGGTAGATGATGGTAAGGAGAAGTGTTCCATCAGGTACTGTAGTCCCAAGCCATGCAGGGCTTTATAGGTTAAAACCAGCACCCTGAATTATGCTCAGAAGCATATAGGCAGCCAGTGCAAGGGGATCGGAATTGGGGTTATGTGCTCAGACCATCTAATCCCAGTTATTAGCCCGGCTACCACATTGTGCACAAGCTGGAGCTTCTGAACAGTCTTCAAAGGCAGCCTCATGTACAGTGCATTGCAGTAATCTATAGACCACTGTACATCAGCAGAGCAAAGACCACTGATGGCAGGCTATCTATCCAGAGAGGGACCTGGCTGGGCCACCATCCAAAGCTGGTAGAAGACACTCCGAGCCCCGAAGGCACCTGGACCTCAAGTGACAAAAATGGCTCAAGGAACAACCTCAAGCCACAAACCTTCAAAAGGAGTGGAACTCCCTCTAGAACAGGTTAAACAGCTGTCACAGTGTTATTCCACATACATATAACATGGCTTCTTTGCACACCACACATTAAGTAGTACCTGAAAAATAGCTGTTAAGCACGAAGGCAGAGCTCTGAAGCCTGGCTACAAAGGTCTGAATGCTTGCTATTTTCTGTCAGTTGCCAAGAATAGGCTTTAGCAATACAGTTTATTTAGTCCTTACATACACAATGGAGATAAACCCCATTATCTGCCTATTTGTACCATCTAGCTGTCTTTGGATTAACCTCTTACAACACACAGAACCCCAACAGTTTAAGGAAAAATAAACACAGACATTTAGGTTTATTTTCAGTCTCACACAAAGCAGTTAATTGCATCATACTCTACGAAGATAGTGCAAGATGCTTTTCAACAGTAGCTTCTAATCATTCTGACAACACAATCAATTACAAAATAGTTCTGCTATATCAAGCAAGACCACTTGATTTTACTCTTGATTCCCTCCAAATGCAAACGAAAACAAGAGGAAACACTAAGCTAACAGACAAGCAAGTTTCATGACATTTAGCAGCATACACCATAAGCAAGTATGTGCAAGACAGAATCCTGTACATTTAAGGCAAGAATGTAAAGGAACAGCTGCAGAATATTACCTCGCCATTAGCAGAGTTTCAGCTAAGAAATCTTCATGCATGCCAGTTAGATATAATGCAATCAAAAAAAAGGGCTTGACTGGTTTCAATACTCCTTGCCTACAGTTTTCATCCTTTTTCCCCTTTCTTTGAAAACAGGGGCATTTCATTCTAGAATGATGGTGCTAAAATGATGGTACTAAAAGGTATGTGTCAGAAGACCTAATTGTTTGTCACCTTCTCACACTGGAAAAGCTGGTAAAACCTCATCTTTGCCATGAATGAAAAGTGATCACATTTATGTATATCACTGAAAACTTGAAAATAGTCAAATTCAAGGGACCTGCCTCCACCGAAAAAGAATGCCTCCTATCTGTGGTTTTCAATTAGGGGTAGTTGGTTCATGCCTTCTGGACATCACTGGATACTGTGGTCACTGAGGGCTGAATAGCAGATAGATTTGTGGGGCAAAAGACCCTAACTGCCTTCCGTTCCTGAGTGGGCCCATTTTCTCTTTGTTACCACTTGCAGCAAATGCCCAGAGAACAGCAAAGCAAGCAGAAGATTTGTAGGAGATTAGCACTAATTCCCAATAGTTTAATAATAAGGTGCTTCTTCCCTTGGCTAAATTAGGCTGCTGAAATAAAGAACATATGGGATAACCAGTAGTCTTTTCTGTGAAAGGAGTATTCCACTCCAGCCCCTGCACTGAAAACAAATTACTCGATTTAGAACATACTTTAATTCTATGTGCATTTCCGTTGTCACTGGTTCTGGTCGGTGGATCTCGGGGTTCTAGTAAAAGCAAAATAGATCTGAAATCTTGAACTCTGCCTCTCCATGGGCCCATATACATTGATGCCAGTAAATCATCTCTGTGGTAATGTCAGAAAAAGCCTTTTTAATCACAATTAGAGGATCAAACTCCCAGAGATGAACAAGTTCTTGTCAACTTATGTTATGCAATTCCTGCTTCAAAAAATTGAAAGATTGTACCTCTCTTTTTAAAACCACTGCCATAATATGATAATATAGACCAGATACTAAAAAACAACATAACTGGGAAAGTCCTGTTGTTTGATATGCAGTGTTCCCATTCATTTGAAATAATGCACAAATTGTATTGTGCTTAGAAGCATGCCACAAAAAACATTTTGTCAGAGCTTCCCAGCTCTTTTTGGCTGGGGACAAGGGAGCAAGAATATTATCTCTCTTTTGTTTATATGTTTTGATTTAGGAAGCAGAAAGAGAGGAAAGAAAGATGGTGGAGAAAGATTACTAGACTGGAACCATTGCTAGCAAGTAAGAGAAAAAGCCTGAATTTTAGAATTCTAGAGTCCTAGAAGAAAGCTTAGGATTTCATGCAGCAGAACAGACATGAAATTATCATGTGTATACTGTCTTCTGATTGTTTGTTTTTTCCCTATAGGACTTTCAGAATAGACCTTAATATAAAATAATATGCAGTGCAATAAACAGAACTGGCTTCCAACCAAATTAATTTAGAAGGCAGTTAGACATTTATTTCTTTATTTTAAAACACTCTTGTCCTGCATTCTCATTGAAAAAGGGATCTCCCCATAGGCTAACAAAGAATGCAAAACATTGAATAAAGCAAGTTATAAAAGAAAAATTTAAAAATATCCCCATAAATAGCAAAGCAAAATTGCCAAGAAGTGCATATATAAGCCTTGTATGCGGCTACATAATGGGCTACAGACAACGCTAGCTTTCTCTGGAATGTGTTCATTACGTAGGAATTATATTTGTTTTGGTGGAACTTCAAAACAGCAGCAACAAACAAAAATACTCAGAATAATAAGCTTGGGCTCCAAGCCAGCCAAAATGCCCACATTCGCACAGCTCACCAGAAGGTAAACATGATGGAGCCAAGCACATTTCCCATTGTGAGG